GAGCCATTATTTAAATTTATTTTTTATCTTTAACAGTGACGCCACGTGGTCAAAATCTTAACAGAGGAAAAAAAAACAAAAAAACATTTTGGATTCGATTTAAAAATACATTAATTTTTCAGAGTGGAAATATTTTGAAACTAAAATAATAATTAAAAAAAGACTATAGGGACTTTGAAAACAGTAGACGGACACATATAGATATTGAGCACAATTTCAAAGTGTTTATAAGAATTATAATATACTTGTTAAATCATAGATTAAAATAAAAGGCAAAAAATATGTGTTGTAAAAACATCTTACCTCTTCAGAGGGTCTCCTCTTGTCAGGTAGCACGAGTGTGTTTGCATGACTTCCAGGTACTATAGTAGATCCTATACTCATCCTGGGTCCAACCAACATGTATCGTTTGTCTCCTGATCTGTACTGGATGCTGTGACATAGTGTTCCATCATAATTAGTCTCTTGGAGATATTTAGAAGTATATTCCGTGGATTTTGAGCACTGCATTGCAATCAGAACTGCGATACTAATAATAAAGAGAACTGAAACTCCGCCCAAAGTGATCATCAGGTAAAAAGACACATCGTTATTTTCTTCACCATTTGCTACACTTTTTATATCAGAAGCTGCGAAAGCCTCTTTAGGCTCTACTAGTTTAACAATCAGTGTAGCTGTTGCTGAGAGAGAAACGTTTCCATTGTCTTTGACAAGTATGACCAGTTTATGCTCAGCTTCATCTGTCTCTGTGAATGAGCGAAGTGTTCGGATCTGTCCTGTGTAGCGGTCCAAACCAAAGAGGCTGTGGTCAGTAACTTCCTGCAGTGAAAACAGCAACCAGCCGTTATATCCTATATCAGCATCATAGGCTCTGACTTTAGTCACCAAGTGTCCTGCGTTCACATTGCGGGGAATCTCCTCCACACCTTCAGCAGAACCGTTGGAGCTAATTGGATGCAGGATGACAGGAGCGTTGTCGTTTCGGTCAAGAATAAACACGTTCACTGTGACATTGCTGCTCAATGATGGAGTGCCTGAATCAGTAGCAACAACTTGGAATTGGAAAGTTTTTAAAGTTTCAAAGTCGAAACTTTTTAGTGCTACAATTTCCCCAGTTTCAGAGTTTATATTTAAAAACACATTAAACTTATTGAGCTCTCGTTCATCCCTGAAAATATGATAAGAAACACGCGCGTTCTCATCTTCGTCACGATCCATAGCTTTAACAGAAAAGATCAAAGAACCTGCCTCGTTACCCTCAGTTATATAGATTGTATAAGGGCTGATTAAAAACTCAGGATTGTTGTCATTCACGTCCAGTACTACAACGCTTACTGTCTTTACCGATGATAATTGAGGCTGCCCTGAGTCTTTTGCAGTTATTTTAAGATCATATAGTGATTGTTTCTCTCTGTCCAAAGGAGAGCTGGTGACCACGGAAAACGTTTTATCCTTTAAAGCGGGTGACAAAATAAAAGGAACATTATCATTTAAAGTGCAGATAACTTTTCCATTATCACCAGAGTCTAAGTCATTCACACTAACAAGAGCTACCGTTGTTCCCGGTCTGGAATTTTCAGGAATAGAACTTGAAAATGAAGTAATTTCAATTTCAGGCGCATTATCGTTCGTATCAACTATCTTAACAATCACGCTTTTTTCGGTTGTTAGAGGAGCAAATCCTTTGTCAGATGCCTGTATTTCTATTTCATATTCGTCTTCATCTTCATAGTCTATCACACCCTTCACAGTTATATCACCTGTTAGTGAATTAATATCAAACTTATTCAGGATATGTGGGCTTACACTGTTACCAAACGAAAATATTACTTCTCCGTTTGATCCTTGGTCTAAATCAGTTGCGTTCACCCTTGTGACAGTTGTTCCAATCGGAGCATTTTCATTTAGTGTCACAGTATACTCTTTCTCTAAGAAAACAGGTGCGTTGTCGTTTACGTCAAGAACATGTATCAGTATGTTCATATTCCCAGCTTTCGGAGGTTTACCTTCATCTAGAGCTGTTAGTACCAAAGCGTGGCTCAATGCAGTTTCTCTGTCTAAAGGTTTTTGAACAACCAGTACAGGTATTTTATTATCATTTCTTTTGTCCTTAATTTCCAATCGAAAATGATCGTTTGGGCTAAGTTTATACTGCTGTACAGAGAGTGGGCCACTGTCTGGATCCTGCGCGGGTTTAAGCTGAAATCGTGCTCCCTGCAACGCGGACTCTGAAATCTCCATTATGATGTCTTTGTCCGGGAATACCGGCGAATGATCATTTATATCCAGAATTTCAACCTCCACATAATGAACCTCTAGGGGATTTTCTAGCACAGTTTTTACATTAATCACACAACGACTACTATGGGGACACAGCTCTTCTCTGTCAATTTTCCGGCTCACGTAAAGGATCCCATCGTTCTGATTCAGGTTAAAGAGAGGATTCACATCACTTGATACAATCCGATACTTCCTGTTTTCCAGCGTGCTTTTGTCTATCCCCAAATCCTTTGCTACGTTTCCAACCACTGTTCCCTCCATTACCTCCTCAGATATTGAATACCGCAGTTGCGCTGATTCCACACTCCACAAAAGCACGACAAGCAAGAGTCCAACAAAATATCGCTGCTCCTCCCGCTGTTTCCTCCGTCTTTGTTCCATTATAAATTGTGAAATGACCAGTCATGTATTACAAACGCGAAATCTTTGGATTGGAAAGCTTCCACCTTTGCAACTGTAGATATGTCGTCTTTTTCCATTTACAAATGCGTTTCCATAAATGTTTTCACCGAATATTTAAGAACAAAAAAGATAAAAGGGCACACTGACGAGAATATGATCTGTATGGGAGGATCCACGACGAAATAATATGGACACCACGATGTGCGTATTTCCAGTATCATGCTGACACCTTGTGAGCAAATGCACGGATGCACAAAACCCAATAAGAGATTATAAGCAAGTTATATGTAAATAAAACTAAATAAATATGCCTCAGTAGCCAATGGAAACTGGAACAGTCAAAATCGCTGTTTAAACCACTTAAATTCAACGGACAGGATGTAGAGAAAGTTGACTATTTCAAATACTTATGAATAATTGTGGACAATTCTTTCACATTTATTTAACTTGTTGACTATTTTTACAAGAAAGTACAACAAAGGCTCTTCCTGCTAAGCCAGCTAAGGGTTTTTAAAGTCAGTGACCACATCCTATCGAGGATTTATTGAGAGTGTACAGATGTTTAACATTGTTTCATGGTTTGGTCATTTAACTGCCAAAAACAACGCTAAACTTAGTAGACTATTTCAACAGTGCATAGATTGCAGGCCAACAACAAATCAATTTATCTCTGCATTACAGTAAAGCAGTGTATCGGGTCTGGCATAAGATCACAGATCATGGAGGCCATCCACTCTCACTTTGAGCTCCTTCCATCACGGCAGAGGTACAGACTTCCTTTTGCCAAGAAAAATGTATACAGACATTATATTGTGCCCATTGCCATGAAGGAGCCGAACAAGTAATACCCGAAATGTCACTTGGTCAACTGTGCTTCATTTTCTTTGATGAAGTGAATCTGTTGCTGCTGCTGTGTCTGCAATCTTTGATAATTATATATTAAGTAATTTAATTACATTGTTGTGTGTGAGCAAGCCAAAAGCCAAATTTCTGCCATCGCCGTGTATTTTAGACAGTGAAGTTGTTCTATTCTATTCTATTCTATTCTATTCTATTCTATTCTATTCTATTCTATTCTATTCTATTCTATTCTATTCTATAACAAACTTTGATGTCACACACCTAACATTAAATTTAGATAAAATGAAACCAATTGTATTGGTTTCAGTAACATTTGAAAGCTCATATTAGGTAGATATTACGAAAACATGTGGTGCATATCAAGATGTTGTTAAATAAATAAATAAATAAATAAAGAAAGAAAGAAAGAAAGAAAGAAAGAAAGAAAGAAAGAAAGAAAGAAAGAAAGAAAGAAAGAAAGAAACTTTCAGCACCATGGAGAGT